AGTTGGAGAGGGGCCTGATCTGAGATTTGGCACCCCTTGGCAAATCTAGTGCCAGCTGCCTCTGGACCTCCGAGGCTGGGAACTGGAGCTGCACTCGCCTGCAGTGCTCCGGCTGGAGAAACATGGTAGGATGTCCCTTTGCAGCCAGGTCTCCCAGGTACTCGGATGAAAGAATATATGAACCATGCTCTTGCAAGCATGCTTTACTGAGCAATTTTTTTTTCTTAATTTATTTTTTTTCAGGAACATGCCAGTATTTTAATTTTGCTCTCTGCTCTGGTATTTTTTAATTAGTTGGATATGCCGTGCAGCACAGCACTTTCTTTACTTCCTCACGTATAATATCCTGTCAAATCCCTCTGACAGATGAGTGCAGGACCTGAGCGCTTTCATGGGGTGGGTGCCAACACACTCATCGTTGAGTTCTGTGGTTTTGCAAATGTTTCCCATCTGATCACCAAATGTGATTTCCCAGAGGTTTCCATTCATACCTATTTCACGTATCCTTTACTAGAGGGAGCATTTGGTTGACTCTTACTATCTCAAAAAAATGTTCAAATTCTTTCCTTATTTTTTAATATCTCAGATTAGATCTTCATTTGTGAACAAGTCGAAACCAATGTCTTTGACTTGTCATGGTTAACAAGTGATAGTTGTCAGGTTATTTCTAAGGGCATTTTTAAGTTGTTCTTTTGGCAGGGTTTTTTTAAAATTGAGACTATAAAGTGTTTTACCTACCTTAGTCATAGCTGTCAAATATGAGCTTCATATAAGGTTTTGTTCTGCTTTATGAGATAGACTTTCAGTGATTGCTGCTAAGTTGAGAACTTCTTTTATTCATCATCAGCAAAACCTTTGAGCCTAATAACTTGCAAAGGGAAATTATTGTTCCTACAAAAATAATTTTATTCTCATTCACTATATTTGTCTGTGGAGTCTTTAGGACATATCTCAGATCATAGCCTCCCTAAATGCTTTGAAAAGTAAGATACAGCTATTACAAAATCAGTACACTGATAAATACTGAAAGTCTGATGGGTATGTTGAAACGTCTTAATCCGTGTTATCTGATGAGCAGTACACCTCTATTTTTTTTTAATATCTGGTTAAGATAGGCTTAACTGCAGGAAAATATCCATATAAACTTGATCGTACTCTTTAGAATACAGCCATGAGCACAATGCAAAAGGTTAAATATTTGGTAAAAAAGAGGTGCCACTGCAGTGTCCGTG